GTGGGCTGAGGGCGGCCGCGGGTTCGCACGTCCTGCCGAGCAGCCCCGAGGTGGCCGCTGCCCCCCGAGACACGGAGCCCGGCGCGCAGGCCGCAGGCTCTGCACAGTCGGGGCCCGTGTAGAGCGGGGAGCCCGCTCTTCTCAGTAAGGCCACTGATTTCGCTTCTCTGAACTTAACTCAAAAGGACGCCGGGGTCGGCTCGAGTGACCGAGGCAAAGCAGACCACTGCCCACTGCAGACGCGGGCCCGGCCTGCGGTCTGCCGGTCATTAACCCTGGCGGGCTCGTCCACGTTGGCGGCCGGACGCTGCGTCCTTGGGGCCGAGGACACCCGGCCAGGTCGGCCTCACGGCCACATGAGGGCCTGCGGGCAGGACACCACTTCTGGCCCCCAGGAGTGGACAGCTGAGCAAGGCCTCTGGCCCATGGACGGCCCTCCGGGCTTGCCCGGCCGCCCACAGCAGCCCCCACCCTGGGTCGGCACCGAGCAAGAGGCCAGCCTGGCCCCTGCCGGGGGAGGTGGGTGCTGCTCGGCGCGGGTCCAGAGGCCGCGCACCTGTGCTGGGGCTGGGCCGCCCCCGTGGACGTCCAGCGGAAGGCCTGGCCATTCTCCGGGCTCCATCCGTCCAGCGGAAGGCCTGGCCATTCGCCGGGCTCCATCTTCCTCGTGCCGGCCTCGCGGGGTCAGCGTGTGATGACCAGGCGCTGACTGGGGAGCGGAGTCGCTGCGGGGGAAGGCAGCCCTGAGGGGCGTCGAGGCGGGGCTGTGCGCCCAGCATTCACGCCGGCCGGCTCCGACCCCGCGGCAGACTCGGCACTGCCGACACTCCCAGCGGGCCGAGCTGCCGGGACCGTCTCCGGCAGGCCCGTGGGCTTCCTGCCCACTGAGAGCAGATGCCCTGGCCTTTCAGCCCCTGCCGCCAGCGGCCACCACCCCGGGGGGCCCCGAGGGCAGCAGGGAGGGCTCTAGTTAGCCCCAGCTGCCCCGGCTCGTCCACTCCCAGACTCGGGCTTGGAGGGGCAGCGTCGGCTGGAGCTGGTCTCTGGGAGACCCGCTGGCGGCTGATGGCGCGGTTTGCCTCAGAGATCCGAGAGGATCCCTACAAGGCCAGCGGACAGGGCACGTCCTTGAAAAGCTCACAGACAGCCGCCGGCCGTCCCGGCTCGCCCACGTGGGCCCGGTGGCCGCGGTCCCGCAGACCTGACCCGGGAGAGCAAACCCGTGTGCCGCCTGGCGGAGACGGGGGCCCTGGTGCCAGGCTGTGGGCACTCGCCCCGGGGGCACTCCCTGCGCCCTCCCCCAGCTTCCCCAGGGGACGGCCACCCGCTCTGTAAGGCTCCTAATATTTGGCCCACCCGTGCCATTTTGGGGAACGACAGAGGGGCCCTGGGGCTCCGCCTGGCCTGCAGCTGGGAGGTGCCCGCCGCCCAGCCGCGCGTCCTGGCACCAACGCGCCAGCCCTCGGCGCCCCAGACCACCGTGGCCGGCGCCCCCAGCCTCGGAACGCGTCCCGGGGACCCCGACGTCTCGGCCGGTCTCTGCTCCAGGGGCTCCCAGGCGTCTGGCGGCGGCAGCACAGACACGCACACGGCTCGCACAGGCCAGCCGCTGCTCGCAGGGGCGGCAGATCTGACTGATTTATTTTTCTAATCTTGTTCTTCTTCTTGTCCACCCCCTTCAGCTTACTCACGGGAGTCGCTGCCAGGAGGGCTTGCCCCGGACCGCCGGGC